AAAGAAAGAAAGAAAGAAAGAAAGAAAGAAAGAAAGAAAGAAAGAAAGAAAGAAAGAAAGAAAGAAAGAAAGAAAAAGAAAAAGAAAAGGAGATGTGTCTTCTAGTTCTGTCTACAGAGAAGGCCTAAAAACAATGATACCGCAGTAACAATGAGCACATCTAGAACCCATATCTTGGTTACTAAATACCATTCTCTACTAAAAGGAATCAAAACTCCTTGAAGAAATGGCTGATTCCAGAGAAAGTATACAATGAGCCTGAAACATCTTTTGGTACCAGAACATAGTAAAGTACTCAAAGAATAACAGAGACATCTCAAAAGGGCACAGGAAGGGCACAGATGGGAAGCAACTCGAAGGGACTCCTAATGGCCAAGTCAGGACCACTCTGAGCAGCACAATGAATAACACTAGTTATTGATTATAGGACACTGAATAAAATAGGCCTTTATGATTCCATCGTGATATAAACAACAAAGATTACATTTAAGCCAATATCAGCATAATAAGAAGAAGCCGCTGAATGAGAAGAGTCATGAGAATTCCGGGCATTGGAAACCACTAGTGTAAGGGTTCCTTGGTAAAGATGACCTTGGCGTGTTTGAGAAACAGAGAAGGCCAGTGTGGCTGAAGTGTTCGCAGTGGGCACAGGAAGAGTTGTAATGAGATAGAGACATAGAGAGAGAAAAAGAGAAAGATTATTACAGTCAAGAAATTGGCTCACATGATCATGGAAGATGGGAAGTCTCAAGATCTGCAGCAGTTGGGAAGATGCCAGTCATGCCCTTCCAGTCTGAGTCCAGTCCTGAGAACCAGGAGAGCCGACGGTATAAGTTTCATATGAGTCTGAGTCTCAAGACAGGGGAAGACCAATGTCCCAACTCAAAGAAAGTCAGGCAGAGAGAGAGAAAATTCTCTTCCACTCAGCCTTTCTGTTCAATTCAGGCCTTCAACAGATGAGATGAGGCTCACGCATCTACCCATTGGGGAGGGCTATCTGCTTTATTCAGTTGACTAATTCAAATATTAATCTCATCCAGAAACACCCTCACAGACACACCCAAAATAATGTTTAGCCAAAAAATCTAGTCAAGTCGACACATTTCTATGTGACTTTGAGCAAAGTTGCTTCATCTCGGAGACCCTCAAGTACTACATTTCCCCACTGGGCTATAGGTTTAAATTACAAGCAAAATCCTTGGCACATTTCTGTCCAGTGGGAAGGGCTTGACAGTCAACAGTATCAATCATATCCACCACAGTTACGATACCCTCGGAACTTTGTGTTAAACCCCAGAACACTAGTGCTTTAAATACATTATCTCATTTAATCCTCACATCTAACTTACGAAGTGTTTTTACCCCCATTTTACAGTTAAGTAAATGGAGGCTCAGTGAATTGTACCTTGTCCCACGGTCACTCTTAGTCCATAAAGCTAATATTTGGACCAGACGTTCTATTCCTAGGGCTAGCTCTTGGCTCTTAGGCTACACTGGCTTTCCTGTACAAGTCATGTAAATTACGTAAAAGTTAATGAGCTCGCCATTATTACTTATTTTAATTGCTAGCATTGCAATAGCAGTATTGTCTATTATTTTTATTAGAAATACAAAATATTTCATCAATGTTGTGTGTTAAATAGGTTTTTTATAAGGTAGCCTGGAGACCCAATTGCCATTTATAATACTGTTTCTGAAAATGTGTTCTGAATTTTAAACACCCAAACTAAAAATAAGTGTTGAGTGGTAACGTGTTTCCAACTTGGGGGCTATCTACTGAAATTAGCAATACTGGGTCATGTTGATTCTGGGTTCTTTAACCAAAGAAGGGCTTTTGTGTTTGTTTGGTTTTTACTTTTTAAAGACAGTGATAAGAAAGGCCACACCAGGTTCTCTCAGAGTTAGTTATCCCTATTGTTGAAAAGGCTGGTCATAGGACATACAGTCAACAGCACTCACTCCAAACCCCCACTCCAGTCTGTTGACACCCCAAATGTATGCAAGCTCCTGAGGAGGGGAAACTAACAGAGTTATAAGCGCAAGATTAGACGTGCAGGAGACCTTCACCCCCAACTTCCACACATGCTCACGCACCCGTGCGCGGGTCTCCTCCTGCCCACGGGGGCTCCCACTTGCCCTGCCCACTTAGTGCAGCATCTCAGGCACTGGGACTCTGGAAACAGAAGGGCCTGAGTTTGACTCCCAAGTTAGTAATTAACTAACTGTGCAACCTTGGCCAACTAATTATTTAACATCTCCAAACCTCACATTTGTTCATCTGTAAAATAAGGCTAATAGTAACTATGTGTGGGATTGTTCTGGGAATTAAATAAGAATATTTACATTAAATTTTATATTAAATATATATATCTATATTTTGGTATATAACCATTACTACTCACTATTCTTATCTTTTCTGTTGTAACTTATGGGCAGTTTGAAGCGAGACATCCTACAAATAAAAGCAAGAGAGGGACTTCCCTGGAGGTCCAGTGGTTAAGAATCTGCATTTCCACTGCAAGGGGCATAGGTTCGATCCCTGGTCGGAGATCTAAGATCCTGCATGCCATATGGTGTGGCTCCAAAGATAGATAGATAGATAGATAAACAGATAGATAGATAGACAGATAGATAGATAAATAAATAAATAAAAGCAATAGAGAGGGTGGATTGTCACCAAAGCCCTGACTAGGGAAAGTTGGAGAAGAGGCGGAGGAGAGAGGAGACGGGAAGGGGATTCCCATACGTTTGCTCATGAAAAATCAAGGCTCAGCCAGAAGTGGGATTCCCATTAGTGAGGATTTCCAGATTCAGCTTTCATTTATAATTTCTGCCCTGAGGATGTGCTGATGGGAAACAGAAATAGCTTTATTCCACCTGGGTTTTACGCAAAGTGTTTATTAGCTGCTGCAGGCGCTGGGCTCTTCAGTGCTGAGCATCAACAGCCCGGGCTCAGGTGGGGAGACCAGGTAGGTCACTGTGTCGTTCCCGTCTCACTCCTTCTTCATCTATGTCAACCTTGGAGAAAGCCTTTTAGTGCCAGAACTCATCCTATACTCACTTTCTGAAAAATTAATTCAAATTTATTAGCTAATATCTTTAACTGCCCCAAAGAGTGTTAGACTGGGGTCTTACAAAATACACCACTATTTTAAAATACAGTTTAAAAACCACATGGTAATAGCATAACGGAAGGATCCATAAATTAGGAAAGAGCCATACATTCTCTGGAGCAAACTGAAAACTCTGGTCTATAAGACGCTTCAATCAGATCAGGAATTCTTGCGTATCCTCAGTTCATCCAAAAATACAATTGAAGAAAGTAGAAATACAAGTAATGGAGATCTTTTAGCACCTGGTCGTTCTGCTGACGACCTGTCAAAAATACAGCCTGTATTAAGTCAGTCAACAGCAAAACCTTCTGTTGTATTTTGTTCAGTTGATTTGTGTTTAGGTCATATTTCCATGCTTTTTTTCATCCTTGTAAAATATACCATATTTTGAGAAATAAAAAAATCAGTAAGATGAAGGAATAATATCCAATTTTATTTTTCATTTCCTTTAACCTACTGTAACTCTGGTATTTGACTTGGAAGCCCTCTTCTTTTTTTAACATGTTACATCATGTTTCTATAACATGGTTGTGCTAATGTTAAAGTATTGAAAACTTTTTTTTTTTTTGCGGTACGCAGGCCTCTCACTGTTGTGGCCTCTCCCGTTGCGGAGCACAGGCTCCGGACGCGCAGGCTCAGCGGCCATGGCTCACGGGCCCAGCCGCTCCGCGGCATGTGGGATCCTCCCGGACCGGGGCACGAACCCGTGTCCCCTGCATCGGCAGGCAGACTCTCAACCACTGCGCCACCAGGGAAGCCCCTTGGGTAAGTTTTGAAAATATTTTCTCCTAATCTGTAGCATGACTCTTGTTTCCTTCCTTTCTTCCTTTTTTTAAAAATTTTTACACAAAAGTTTGTAATTTAATACAGTTGCATTAATATGTTTTCCTTTTTTCTATCTTTGTCTGAGGTGCACTGCCTATGCTGATACCATAAAGATATTCTCCTTATCTTTTTTCCGAAGCATTATCCCGTTCCCGCCATCATCTTTAAGTCAACGTTCACCCTGGAATTGATTTGGAGACACTGTATGAGATAGAGAGCTGATTCTATTTTATTTTTTTACAGATGGATAACCAGCTCTGCCCGCGTCCTTTATTAAACAGCTCATCTATCCCCACCATTTTGTAAGGCCAGCTCTGTCATAGGTCAGTTTTCCAGGCACATGTGAGTCAATTTGTTGACTCGGTGAAGTCGGCTTCTGAATCCTGCACGAATACCGTGCTGCCCGAGGTGCTGTGGTTTCTAATACCTTGTATCCCAGAGGACAAAACTCCCCTTCTGATGTCCTTCTTCAAAAACTTTGCTTTGGCCATTTGTTGCCCTTTTTACTTTCTAAGTGTCTTCCAGATTCAGCTTGTCAAATTCTATGAAACCCTCTTTAGGTTTGAAATAAAACTATAGTGAGTTGCATTGAAATTCCTTTTATTAACATTATTTATGGCCGGGTCTTATTTTTTCTACCGTATTTTCTCTTTACCTGAATTTGAATTTATTTTAAATATTTCTTATTATATGTCTCTTTATGAAGTCCTATAAATCCTTTGGAATGGGGCAGGGTGTAATTACACACAATGTGTAAATAAGTGCTTGTCTGTCTCCTGTGTGTAAGCAAAGTACCACGGAGATACAATATTTTTGACAGATTTAAGATCTTGTGCATCTCTGAACATAAATTCCCATTGTACAGTAGGCTAGATATAAAAATCAATCCATGTACAATGTGTACAAAAAGGTGGACTAAACGCACACTACTCAAATGGAAAGGGCTTCTTTGAGTTGGGATGCGGGCATAATTAACCAAGTCACCAATGTCCGTTTATTTTCCTAAATACTCAATACTGAAAATGGAGAGGTATTTTGATTTCTCATTAACTAAATTCTTATTATCCTGCATTTTCATATAAAACATGAGCACAGGCACGGAGTTTCTCAGCCCACGGGTCGAATTTTTTACTTTCTCCATTCTCCTCACTCTAACTTCAAGCTAAATTCACATAACATGCACCCTCTGTGACCTTTGTTCAAAATAGCTTCACTTTCCTTTGTATTAAATGTGCTTCACCTCCTTTGTGGTACTAATAGCAGTCATTACCTCTAAGAGTTGTACTCAGCACCGAGATAATGCCCCATGGGCTGGAGATTTCAGGGCGCCTTTCACCTCATTTTTACTCTATCTCTGAGAAGCACGAAAATAGGTCCCGTTTCATCGATGGTGAAGTTTAGGTACCAAAAATCAAAGGACTTATTCCATCTCCACCATTAAAACCCTAAGGAGTTAAAAGGATGCACATACTTGGCAGTCATCTGATTAATATAATCCGTGTGGACAGCACACCAATAGGGTTCAGAATGACGCAGCTGAGTTTGTGAATCAAACCACCTCTGTGATTGCCAAGTTCTGTTTTTTTGCTATGTCTTGGGCCCAGCTGGTTTGGGGACCACTAGGCTTCTGGTCCCAGGCTCTGTCCTTTGACTCGCTCATTTCCCAGCCTTTCCCAAAAAGGGTGCTGGAGAATATAGGTTTTAAGGGATGTTGATAGATATTAAATACAATGAGATTCCTTGGTCAAACAGGTTTGAAAACATAAACAAACTATATTGCAGAATTTATATGTCACTCAATCTTCAAAAGGAGTAGAATACAGTAGGTTACACATCCTCACATTTTTTTTTTTCGGTACGCGGGCCT